GTAAATCATCATTTTCATCCACTGCTGGTAGAAAGACAAACGGCCAATTAATGTTCTTGCTCTTTGAAAAATTCCTAGCATTTCACACTCAACCTGGATAAGGATGCTGGTGCCCCCTGGGGGTGTGGCTTGGCGCTCAGAGGTAGAGCGTTTGCCCGGCAGGTGCGAGACCTGGGTCCTCCCCCCACCTCCCGCAGAACCTTGAAAGACAATAATGATGATGACAATGAAGTTTGGGCTCTTGAGTGCCCCTGTCCCCTCAATGCCAGAGAAGAATCTTTTTTTTTTTGGTCCCACCCGGTGATGCTCAGGTCTGACTCCTGGCTCTGCACTCAGGAATCACTCCTGGCGGTGCTCAGATTACCCTATGGGATAACCTGGATCAAACCCGGGTCAGCCACAGACAAGACAAATGTCCTCCCTCCTGTGCTATCGCTCTGGCCCCCAGAGAAGAATCTGACCTTTACGGTATCACCGAGAAACTCCACCCAGGGCCAGGTGCCCAGCCAGAAAGAAGTTGCCTCTTGCACCCTCTCTGGGCACTTGGGTCCCTCGCTTGTCCCCAAGGGTCCCCGTGGCACCCCTGCCCCACCCAGATCCCTGTGCATAGATCAGCTTCTCTGCCTCCTCAGTTCCCAGCGGCCCTGTCTCATCTCCAAGAAATTTCCAGATGGCTGATTGGGGCGGGCAGAATGGGGTCCCTCAGCCCCTCTGCCTCCTAGCTCAGGCTACTTAATTTTGAGTTAAAATATTGGACATTCCCCACCCCCCTTTACAACAAGTGGAACCTGGACCACTATTTTTTTTGCTTTTTGGGGGGTCACACACGGCGATGCACAGGAGTTACTCCTGGCTCATGCACTCAGGAACTACTCCTGGTGGTGCTCGGGGGACCCTATGGGATGCTGGGAATTGAACCTAGGTCGGCTGCGTGCAAGGCAAACGCCCTACCCGCTGTGCAATTGCTCCAGCCCCTGGACCACTTTTGGCTGGCTAGCCTGGACTTGGTTTACCTGTCTGGGAAATGGGGGTGTGGCAGTCTGCCTCTCGGAGTTGTGCAAATTCACATTCAGGACCATGGACAGTTCTGTGGGTGGCGGTTGAGTGAGGCCGGTCTCTCTCGTCCTCCAGAATCTTCCTTGTAAAACTCTTTGTGCATTATGCATGTTTCCGGTAGTACCCTGGCTCGCAAAATCTACAAAATCTCCCTTTTTATTATTTATTTCTAGGGGATTCATAGACAGCGTTGCTTGGGGGTTACTCCTGGCTCTGTGCTCACGGATCACTCCTGGTGGTGCTGGGGGACCCTATTGGGGGGCAGAGGTAGATTTCAGGTCAGCGCTGAGGCAAGGCAAACACCTTATTTTTGTACTATCTCTTCAACACCCCACATTTTTGGGGGGTCACCCCCCAGTGTGCCGTTGGGGTCAGGGGGAGAGGATGAGCCAGTGGTAGGCGCTAGACCAGGGCTCCCACGTGCAAATCTTCTGCTCCAGCCTTTGATTCTGGTCCCAAGGGTGTTTATTTTTTAAATCTCAAAACAATTGTGGGGGCTGGAGTGATAACACAGCGGGGAGGGCGTTTGCCTTGCACGTGGCTGACCCGGGTTCGATGCCCAGCATCCCATAGGGTCCCCTGAGCACCGCCAGGAGTGACTCCTGAGTGTAGAGCCAGGAGGAGCCCCTGTGCATTGCCGGTTGTGACCCTCAAAAAATATATATATATATATATATATATATACCGCTGTTTGTTCCTCCCCAAAGGATTTTACTTTGGGCCCAAGGCTGTTCTGTGAACCCCGAGTTTGGGGGTCCCCCACCGCTGGCCTCTCTCCTCCTCCTCTTCTGCCTGTTTTCCTCTGAAGCCTGCATCTGTCTGGAAGCTTCCAGGCCCCCGCCCCCAGCCCTCCCGCATACATTAGCGCTGGCTCTTGAATACTCATCAGATTAAGATACCTTTGCTGGAAATAAATTTTACGAGCCTGCCTCGGCTCCCTCCCGGGCCGGGGGGGAGCCGCGGGAGATATATAGCTGCTATCTTCTTGGGGGTGAAGGCCACGCCACAATGAGGTGGGAATGGGCAGCTCTCTGCTCTCTGCCGTGCACCCCGGGAGCAAACGTGCTCCAGCTGGTGCTCCCAGGGTTCCCTCCCCCTGCTCCACCTGCAGGATCCTGCTGTCCAGAGCTGGGTGCATGCATGCGTGTCCCTGCAAAGCCAGACCTGCCCCCTGGGCTCCGGGAGCACCGCTGCTTGAGTGCTCTTGAACCCCCAAAGTGTCTGCAGTGAGTCCCTGCCTCTGAGCACTTGTGCCTCTCAGCACCCCAGGTCTCTGCCCCAGAAACTCTCTATTACTGGGGGCGGGACGGGCGCTGGAGGCGTGGCCCCGCGATGGGCGGGGCTTCTTGGGGGTTGGTTGCACTGGGGGCGGGGCTTCTTGGGGTTTGGGAGGCGCTGTGGGCGGGGCGGGCACTGGAGGCGGGGCGTGCTCTGTGGGCGTGGTTTCGCTGTGGGCGGGGCTGCTTGAGGTTGGTGTGTGCTGGGGGCGTGGCTTCGCTATGGGCAGGGCGTGCATTGGAGGTTGGTGCGCGCTGGGGGCGGGGCAAGCACTGTGGGCGGGGCGGGAGCTGGAGGCGGGGTGTGCTCTGTGGGCGTGGCTTCGCTGTGGGCGGGGCTTGTTGGGGGTTGGTGTGCGCTGGGGGCGGGGCGTATGCTGGGTGTGGTGCGCTCTGGGGGCGGGGCTTCTCTGGGGGCGGGGCTTCTCTGGGGAGGGGCTGCTCTGGGGGCGGAGCGTGCGCTAGGGGCCCTGGACAGGGGCTAGCTGGGCATACAGGTCCCTTGGGGGCATAGCTGTCCACCCCAGGGCTGCCGCAGGGTGGTTGCCAGGGTTCAAGTTCAGGCCAGGAGCCGCCTCCAGTGTCCTCACCGTCACCCGGGCCGCGGCCTCTCTGCTGCGTGCAGTGACCCTGGGTGGCCACGCATGCTGACCACGAGGCTCATGGTCATCCTGGCCCCATTCTTCAGGGGGTCATGACGAGGCGAGGTCCTGGGCTCTGGGACTCTCCCGGGCACTGTCCTGAGTGGGCTGAGGCTAAGCAGAGACCAGCTGGCTCCGGTTCCAAATTCCGTGCTCCCCCTGCACCCTACTGGTCCCTGTGCTGAGAGGGTCACCTGTACCCTTAGAGTTCAGGGGGTTCCTGTCCCACGGAGGTCTTGGAACTTACTGGTGGAAGGGTTTCTTGGTTAAGGGAGAAAAAATAGATTTTGCTTTTTGGGCCACCCGGCGATGCTCAGGGCTGACTCCTGGTTCTGCACTCAGGAATCACTCCTGGCGGTGCTCGGGGGACCCTAGGGGATGCCGGGGATCGAACCCGGGTCGGTCACGTGCAATGCAAATGCCCTTCCTGCTGTGCTATCGCTCCAGCCCCAGGGGAGAAACGTTTATTAATATTATTGTTGTTGCCATTGTGTGTGGGCTTGGAGGCGCTCCAGCTGTGCTCAGGAGTGATCCCTGGCCTAGCTCCCGGGACCCTATGCAGTGCTGGGGATTGAACCTGGTCAGCCTCGTGCAGGGCAAGTGTCTTAACCCATGCACTCTCTCTTTGGTCTCAGTTTTTTAGTACTAACATTTTTTTAGGCTTTTTTTGTTTTGTTTTTGTTTTTGGTTTTGGTTTTTTTTTTTTGCTTTTTGGGTCACACCCAGTGATGCACAGGGGTTACTCCTGGCTCTGCACTCAGGAGTCACTCCTGGCAGTGCTCAGGGGACCGTCTGGGATGCTGGGGATCGAACCCGGGTTGGCCGCGTTCAAGGCAAACGCCCTACCCTCTGTGCTATTGCTCCAGCCCCAACTTTTTAGTTTTTGGATGGTGCCAGGAATTAAACTCTAGGCCTGACGTGCAAGACAAGAGCCTTAACCTTGAAATTATTTCTTGAGCCCATGTTCCCTGTCCCCTTTTTTAAGGGGGAAAAGAAGGAACCCGAGAAAGTCAACTTCAGAGCACATAGGAAAATACTGAGCACGTGTGAACAGAGAGAGAAAAAGGAAGAGAAAAAAGAGACCTACGGAGAGAGGGAGGGAGAGGGAGAGAGAGAGAGAGGAAAGGGAGGGAGGGAGGGAGGGAGGGAGGGAGGGAGGGAGGGAGGGAGGGAGGAAGAGAGGGAAGGAGGGGACAGGGAGCTTTCTTCTTTTTTTAATTTTTTTTTTAAATTTTGGGTCACACCGGGCAATGCACAGGGGCTACTTCTGGCTCATGCACTCAGGAATCACTTCTGGCGATGCTCGGGGGACCCTATGGGATGCTGGGAATCGAACCCGGGTCAGCCGCGTGCAAGGCCAACGCCCTACCCGCTGTGCTATCGCTCCAGTCTCCAGGGAGCTCTCTTAAATCTTGAGACTCTCACCCCCTGCCCCTGGTGCTTGGGGAACATTGTCCCACGGTTTTGGTGTTGGGGTCCATCGGGAACAGGCTGTGGGCAGGAGACCCCCCCTCTGTGCAATCTCTGGCCCCGTTTTTTTTTTCTCTTTTAGACCAGATGACTTGTCATTCCTCACAGGCATCACTTGGGGGCGCTGACGTGCTTTTTGTTTTGTTTTGGGGTGGGGTCCCACTCCGCGATGCTCAGGGCTGACTCCTGGCTCTGGAATCACTCCTGGCGGTGCTTGGGGGACCCTTTGGGATGCCGGGGATCGAACCCGGGTCGTCCGCGTGCCAGGCTAACGCCCTCCCCGCTGTGCTGTCACTCCAGCTGCTGTCCTGACGCTTTCATCACCGACTCAGCACCCAGTCGTGAAAATGTTTGTCACCATGTGGGCTTGGTGGTTTCAGCTGGCATTAAGAGGGCGTCTAGGACATGGCCACTCTGAGCCCCCAGAGTACCCCAGGCCAGAGCAGCCAAGCGGCATCCAATTGCCCCCCCCCCCATGGGTGCCCTTGTGCAGTGCGCAACCCTCACAACCGTACAGAGCTGCCCGGCTGTGCTCACTCCACCGCTCTCTCCACAGAGATCCCCCAGTGCGCGGGCTGCAGCCAGCACATCCTGGACAAGTTCATCCTGAAGGTGCTGGACCGCCACTGGCACGGCTCCTGCCTCAAGTGCGCCGACTGCCAGATGCCGCTGGCCGACCGCTGCTTCTCCAGGGCCGGGAGCGTCTACTGCAAGGAGGACTTCTTCAAGTGAGTCACGCGCCCGGCTGCTCCCGTGGGAGGAGGGACCCACTTTTGGGGTGGGTCTGGGGCTCCGGAGCACCCTGGGGGCAGGTCTGGGCCAGGACGGAGGTGTGGGGGGGCTGCAAATCTTCAGGCACTGACTCGTTTGATTTTTAATGAGCACTTGACTTCTGAGCACTTGGCTCTTTTCCCTGGGAGTTCTTTGAGCCTAAGGCCCCGGGGTGCTCCGTGCGGGTTTGGTGGCTGTCTCTCTAGCTGGCTTCACCCCTCTGAGCTCTGTGCCTCTCTGGGCAAGGGGATTAGGGCTCTCTGTCTCTCTTGGGCCTCAGTTTGCTCATCTGTGAAATGGGACCATGAGGGTAGTTGCTTCTCTGGAGCTCCCCAGGACTGAGTCTGGGTAAAGGCCATGGCAGGTCAGGCCTCAGAGCCAGTTCTCAGGACAGGGGCCACTGTCAAACCACTGGGGGCTGGTTTGTCAGAGGGAAACAATTCTTCTTGGGGCTTTGGGGCGAAGGTGCCTTCTGGAGCACACTTCCGGTGGTGTTTAATTTTTTTTGCTTTTTGGGTCACACCCAGCGATGCTCAGGGGTCTCGACTCTGCACTCTGGAATTACTGCTGGCAGTGCTCGGGGGACCCTATGGGATGCTGGGGATCGAACCCGGGTCAGCCACATGCAAGGCAAACACCCTCCCTGCTATACTATCGCTCCAGCTCTCTGGTGGCCTTTAGCCGTGACTTGTCTCCCAGAGTCTCCCACCGAGGACCCCCGGGGGAGGGGAAGGAGCAAAACTTGGGACCCGCCAGGGAAGGGCTCTCGGACCTGGCTACGGGCAGGAATGACCGTTCCCTAGAGACCGCGTGTTCCGGGCAGGGAGGGAAATTGGGGGAGAAATACCAACCCCCAAACTTGCGTGGCTCCAAGAGGCATCCTAGACTCCTGCTCTAGGCATCGTAGACACCTCCTCAGGGGGTCCCCGCTGCGAAGAGCGCCCCCTGGAGGTGTGGGGAGGTGATCGGTAATACTGGAGGCTGCCAGCAGAGGGCGCTGTCGGGTGTCCCTGAGTCTGGAAGGTTCATGGTCTTCTCCTCCTCCTCCTCTTCTCCTCCTTTTCCTTTTCCTTCTCCTCCTCCTCCTCCTCCTCCCTTCTTCTTCTTCTTCTCTTCTTCTTCTTTCTTCTTCTTCTTCTTCCTCCTCCTCTTCTTCTTCTTCTTTCTTCTTTTTTCTTTTTCTTTCTTCTTTCTTCTTCTTCTTCCTCCTCTTCTTCCTTCTTCTTCTTCTTCTTCTTCTTCTTCTTCTTCTTCTTCTTCTTCTTCTTCTTCTTCTTCTTCTCTTCTTTCTTCTTCCTTCTTCTTCTTCTTCCTCCTCCTCCTCCTCTTCTTCTTCTCTTCTTCTTTCTTCTTTCTTTTTCTTTCTTCCTTCTTCTTCTTCCTCCTCTTCTTCCTCCTCCTCCTCCTCCTCCTCCTCCTCCTCCTCCTCCTCCTCCTCCTCCTCCTTCTTCTTCTTCTTCTTCTTCTTCTTCTTCTTCTTCTTCTTCTTCTTCTTCCTCTTCTTCTTCTTCTTTGTCTGCTTTTGGGTCACACCCAGCGATGCACAGGGGTTACTCCTGGCTCTGCACTCAGTAATCACTCTTGGCAGTGCTCAGGGGGGCCAATGGGATGCTGGGAATCAAACCTGTGTTGGCTGCATTTAAGGCAAACGCCCTCCCCGCTGTGCTATCATTCCACCCCGCCCCCTTGGAATTTTTTGGTTTTTTTTCTTTTGGGGTCACACCCAGCAATACACAGGGGTTACTCCTGGCTCTGCACTCAGGAATTACTCCTGGCGGTGCTCAGGGGACCATATTGGATGCTGGGAATCGAACCCAGGTCGGCCGCATGCAAGACAAACGCCCTACCTGCTGTGCTATCACTCCAGCCCCCCACCTTGGATTTTTTAGAAAGTAAAACATTGTATTGAACACCCTGGCGGTAGGGGCCAGTGGCATGCATGAGGCTCTGGGTCTCACCTGGATCTCGCATAAACAAAACCCAAGTGGAACCCCACCCCGCCCCTCCCCCCACACACATAGGGTCGTTCGAGTGAGGCTGGGGGTGCCCGGGGCTGGGCCACCTTCAGCAGGACTTCCTGTCCCCAGTACATGGCTACAGCCGTGATATATGTGGGGAATATTGGCCCATACAGTCACTGTAAATATCCACGACTCACCTGTCAAATGCAGTGACAGAGAGAAGAAATACAGGGAGAAGGTGTCAAGGCAGAGAGAGATACAGCGGGCGGTAAATCACCCGCAGCCCCGGGATGGAGCTGGAGGGGGGGTGGGCGGACCCCGGGATTGTTGGGGTCAAACCCAGGCCCCTCCACGGGCTGGCGGGCAAGTCTCCCTTTGCCCGAATCTCTCTGACCTGCCACCTCCTCGCTGTCCAGCAGGGGGCGAGCTGCAGCGTGGGGCTGCAGTTCCTTTGGAACCCGGGGCCTGGCTGGTCTCTGGGTTCAGAGGGGCCCTGGGGAGGAGGCAGTGGGTCCAGCCTGGGCAGGGCGGGGGGGGGGGGGAAATGGGATGGAATCGGCAGAGTAAGGGATCACTCCTGGTGGTTCTCGGGGGACCCTATGGGATGCCGGGGATCGAACCCGGGTCGGCCGCATGCCAGGCCAACAGCCTCCCCGCTGTGCTATCGCTCTAGCCCCAAGAAGCTGTTTCTGTGTTTATCCTGGACCCCTGGGAAAGCTGAAAATTGATGCCTGTACCCTCCTATTCCTACAAGTTTGATCCACACTGGGGTGACCTGCAGATCCATCCTGAACCCCGGGCAGGGAATGGACTTCCCTGGTCCCCTGTACCCCATTAAACAAGATGCCTGCACTCCAGGGACCCCCAGATCAGAGACCATGTCCCGGCACCCTCCTGGGGGGTACCAGTTCAGAAGAATGACCGTCGGATGCTTTGGGGGCTCCATGTGTGGGTTCAGCCACCCTCCCCTGCTCCATCCCAGGCAGCTTTGGGGACCACAGCCCACCACGCCCACCCAGGCCCCCCGCCCCCGGCATCATTACAGCGTAAAAGTCCCATCATCCCCCATTAATCTGGGATTCGTCATGATCGCCGTGACCATAATTAATTTATTTGGTATTAATGTGGATGAAATACGGACCGTCCTTGCCGGGGACGGGGACTGCGTCTAAACGGGAGTTAAAAGGATCATTACAGCGCGGCCTCCGGATCCATTAGGACGCGCCTCTCACGAGGAGGAAGATGAGGTGTCGTGAATAATTAGCTTGATCGCTGTCAGTGGCGTTGCAGTCTCCTTGCCTGCGACTCCACGTGTCCCCAAATTCCTGCCTGTCCCCAACCACTGCTGAGGTTCTGTGGGGGGAGACGGGGTGCCATGACCCCCTCATCACCCCCCATCTGTGTTCGCACTTGTCTGTCCCCACCTGGGCCCACCCCCAAGGTGTCGACCAGGGGATGAGCTGGAAGAAGCAATTTTTTTGGGGGGGTGCTCTTTTTTCTGGGGATACTCATTCTTTGGGGCCCATGACCTTTTTTTTTCTTTTTGGGTCCCACCTGGCGATGCTCAAGGCTGACTCCTGGCTCTGCACTCAGGCATCACTCCTGGTGGTGCTTGGAGGACCCCTATGGGATGCCGGGGATCGAACCCGGGTCGACCGCATGCAAGGCAAACGCCCTCCCCGCTGTGCTATCACTCCAGCCCCTCTCTCCCTCTCTCTTCTTCTTCCTCTCTCCCTCCCTCCCTCTCTCCTTCCTTCCCTCACCCATCTCCCTCTTTCCTCCCCCTCCTCCTTCCCTCCCTTCCTCTCTATATTATTATTATTATTGGGTTGGAGCAATAGCACAGCGGGTAGGGTGTTTGCCTTGCAGGAGGCTTGGCAGACCCAGGTTCAATTCCTTCGCCCCTCTCGGAGAGGCCGGCAAGCTACCGAGAGTATCGTGCCCTCGCGAAAGCCTGGCAAGCTCCCCATGACGTATTTGATATGCCAAACACAGTAACAAGTGTCACAATGGAGATGTTACTGGGCCCGCCCAAGCAAATCTATGAACAATGGGAGGACAGTGACAGGGACAGTGATTATTATTAGTATTGCTTTTTGGGTCACACCTGGCGATGCTCAGGGGTTCCTCCTGGCTCTGCACTCAGGAATCATTCCTGGCGGTGCTTGGGGGACCACATGGGATGCTGGGGATCGAACCTGGGTCGGCTGCATGCCAGGCAAACGCCCTCCCTGCTTTGCTATCGCTCCGACCCCCAAAGGAGATTTCTTGAGTGGCGAGACCACGCCCAGCAGTGCTTGGGGGACCCCCAAGCCCTGACACTGGAGTGGCTGGGGGGTCGCTCAGGGGGTTCCGGGGGCCTTAGCGCGTTAATGCTACACCAAGGTCCTCTCAACATCCCTCTGCCCAGGGGATGCTCAAAGCCCATGCTCAGCGCCCATGGCTTGGAGTTGGGGGGCTCTGGGGATGCAGACGCGACCACACTCCCCCCCGTGACCCCATAGGCGCTTCGGCACCAAATGCACGGCCTGCCGGCAGGGGATCCCCCCGACCCAGGTGGTCCGCAAGGCCCAGGACTTCGTCTACCACCTGCCCTGCTTCGCCTGCGTCATCTGCCAGAGGCAGCTGGCCACGGGCGACGAGTTCTACCTCATGGAGGACGGGAGGCTCGTGTGCAAGGAGGACTATGAGACGGCCAAGCAGAACGGTGAGCAGCACCCTCACGCAGTGTCCTACCCCTCATGCAGTGTCCTGCCCCTCACACAGTGCCCACCTACCCCTCACGCAGTTCCTGCTGTCCCTCATGCAGTGCCTGCTGCCCCTCACACAGTGCCCACGAGCCCCTCATGTAGTGCCCGCCTGCCACTCACACAGTGCCCACTGCCCCTCACGCAGTGCCCACAAGCCCCTCACATACTGTCTGCCTGCCCCTCATGCAGTGTCCTCCTGCCCCTCACGTAGTGCCCATGAGCCCCTCACACAGTGCCCGCCTGCCACTCACGCAGTGCCCACAAGCCCCTCACGCAGTGCCTGCCTGCCCCTCACACAGTGCCCGCCTGCCTCTCATGCAGTGCCCACTGCCCCTCACGCAGAGCCCACGAACCCCTCACGCAGTGCCTGCCTGGCCCTCAAGCAGTGCCTGCCTGCCCCTCACGCAGTGCCCGCCTGGCCCTCATGTAGTGCCTGCCTGCCCCTCACGCAGTGCCCATCTGCCCCTCACACAGTGCCTAATGCCCCTCACGCAGTGTCTGCCTGCCACTCATGCAGTGCCCACCTGGCTCTCATGCAGTGCCCAGCAGCCGGGGGTTTGGGTCTCGTGAAGATGCGTGATTTCTCCGTGACAGGCCCCTTTCCTGTCTCACCCCTGCCAGCAGGGTTCAGTGGACCCGGTTCTCTCCACCTCCCACCCCTACCCTCTCCACCCCTAACGCCTTCCATCACCCCACCTGTACCATCTCCATCCCCACCCCTGCCCTCTCCACCCTCGCCATTGTGCTCTCCACCCCCCACCCCTACCCGGGCTCCTGCGTCTTCCATACCACGAAGGTGCCTGCGCCAGGCAGACGCCCAAGGCACCGAGCACAGGCTCCATTCCTGGCACTGCCCAGCTGGGAGTAGCCTCTGGGTGCCGGGTGTGACTCCCCCCAAAATCAAAGGCCCTACACAGAAAGTGCCATTTGGGATGGGACATTGTTCTCTCCCGGGCAAGTTTCCCCATGGGGGGCTGTTTTGGGGTGCACCATTTTGTCTTTGCCTTAATGCTCATTTATTTATTTTGGTTTTGGGGTCACACCTGGCAAGTGCTCAGGGATCAGATCAGGGTGCTCGGGGGGACCCTACGGGATGCCGGGGATCGAACCCGGGTCGGCTGTGTGTCAGGCAAATGCCCTTCCCGCTGTGCTATCACTCCAGCCCCAACCCTCCATTTTTTCCCTCAGGGCTCCGCACCAAGACTATTGATCTCTGGGTGCACTTTACCACACAGTCCCAGCGGCTTAATGAATAGTTGGGCGACGCGGTTACAGGACATAAAAGGGGTTTTAAGTGATAATAACCGTAGATGTTCCCATCACGGTGTAATAGTCCCTGTAATCGGCGCGAGGAAGTTCTGGGCCCCCTGGAATCAGCCCCCACTCCTGAGCCCGCCAGGTGCTAGTGCCGAATCCTCCCGGGGGGGGGGGGCGGGCTGGTGGGAGCAGGCTCTGCAGGGTCGGGGGGGCTGCTCCCACGCATCCGAGGCTGACACAGTTCCATGTATCCTGCAGATGACTCGGAGGCCGGCAGCAAACGGCCGCGCACGACGATCACGGCCAAGCAGCTGGAGACCCTGAAGAACGCGTACAAGAACTCGCCCAAGCCCGCACGCCACGTAAGGGAGCAGCTGTCCTCTGAGACGGGCCTGGACATGAGGGTCGTGCAGGTGAGTGGCCAGGCTGGCCAGGGCTAGGGGCCACACAGGGGTGCAGGGCCCAACCTGAGTCTCGCCGCGGAGGTGTGAAAGGTGGTATGTCCAGCAGGAAGGCTGTTTGCCTGCACGCGGCTGACCCGGGTTCGATCCCCAGCATCCCATAGGGTCCCCCAAGCACCGCCAGGAGTGATTCCTGAGTGCAGAGCCAGGAGTCAGCCCTGAGCATCGCCGGGTGGGACCCCAAAAGCTGTAATCAACATGAAACACAGAATTTGAGATGCAGGTCCAGATCTAGGCAGACGTAGAAACACACACACACACACAGAAGCAGCGTCCCCTGCAGTGTCCCCGGCTGTCACCCGCCTGCAGGTTTGGTTCCAGAACCGGCGGGCCAAGGAGAAGCGGCTGAAGAAGGACGCGGGCCGGCACCGCTGGGGCCAGTTCTACAAGACCGTGAAGCGCAGCGGTCGCGGCGGGAAGCAGGAGCGTGAGAGCTCGGCCGAAGAATGCGGGGTCAGCGACAGCGAGCTTAGCTTCCGCGGTGAGCGCCGGGACCCCCGCGGATGCCCCCGGGACCCCCACATGCGCCCCAGGACCCGGGACACCCCGCGCCCCGGGACCTCCGATGTGCACCCTGGGACCCGGGACACCCCGAACGCGCCCAAGGACTCCACACCCCGCAAGTGCCGGGACCCCATACACGGCCTGGGACCCCCAAACGTGCTCCACGACCCCGGAACACCACACGCGCCCCGGGACCCTGCACGTGCCCAGGACTCAACACCTCACACACTTCCTGGGACCCCACACGCGACCCGGGACCCTCTCATGCACCCCGGGACCCCCGCACGTACTTCGGGACCCCGGACACCCTGCACGCGCCCCGGGATCCCACACCCCGGACACGCCCCAGGACCCTGGACACCCTGCATGCACCCCGGGACCCCTCCACATGGCTCAGGACCCGGACACCCCGTATGCATACCCGCTATATGCGTCCCGGATCCCGGACCCCCACACACCCTGGACCCTTGACATCCCAGACCCCACACGCTCCCTGGGCCCCCCACACGCCCCGGGACCACCCCCCACGCATCGGGACCCTGGATCCCCCGCACGCGCCCCGCCCTGTACCCCACATGTGCCGTGGGATCCCGGCCACGCCCCGGGACCCCCACACGTGCCCCGGGACCCGGGACACCCTGCGCGCGCCCCAGGACCCCCACGCGCCCCAGGACCCGGGACACCCCATGTGTGCCCTGGGACCCGGGACACCCCGAACGCGCCCAAGGACCCCACACCCCGCAAGCTCCGGGACCCCACATGCACCCCGGAACCCTGCATGCGCCCAGGACCCGACACCCCACACATTTCCTGGGACCCCGCACGTGCCCCGGGACCCCCGCACATGCCCCGGGACCCCAGACACCCTGCACGTGCCCCGGGACTCCTCCAGGTGGCTCAGGACCTGGACACCCCGTATGCATACCCCCTATACACAGCCCGGACCCCGGACTCCTGCACACCCTGGATCCTGGACATCCCAGACATGCCCCAGACCCCACACGCTCCCTGGGCCCACCCCCAATGCCTTGGGACCACCCCACACACACCGGGACCCTGGATCCCCCACCCAGCACGCGCCCTGCCCTGTACCCCACACGTGCCCCGGGACTCCGGACACGCTGTGGGATACCTGCATGTGCCCCCGGACCCCGCAGAAAGCAGGGCACTGCATCCCCCCTGACTGGGAGCCGCCCCCACCTCCAACTCCCCCACCTTGCACTGCCTCCCTGCCCCAGCCCAGCTGGGCTCTCCCGGGGACCCCCTGCAGGGGTTAGGGGTGCTGGAGTTCTCGTCCAGCTCAGGTCCACTCAGGGTGCCCAAGGGGGCTCCTACCCTTCCCCCTCCTCCACCCCACCCCCACTTTCGCTGGGTTAGAAGCGTGGGTGTCTGCGGGATCTCCTCTGGGGGTCGCTGAGGGGTCTTCTCTAGGGCCCTGGCATCTGTTTGTTTTTGTTTTTTGGCTTTTTGGGTCCCACCCAGCGATGCTCAGGGGTCCCTCCTGGCTCTGCACTCAGGAATCACTCCTGGCGGTGCTCGGGGGACCCTATGGGATGCCGGGGATCGAACCCGGGTCGGCCATGTACAAGGCCAATGCCCTCCCCGCTGTGCTATGGCTCCAGCCCGACACCCAGATTTCCGTGGGCCACCCTTGGGAGACTGGGCTGATGTCGGCGCCCACGTGGCCGGGCACTGCTGGCTCTGGGTGCTTCCTGGCTGTGTCGGGGGAACCCACGGGCTCGGGGGGGTGGGCGGGCCTGGCGCCACCCCTCAACCCCCTTCTCTGACCCACAGAGGATCAGCTTCTGTCCGAGCTCGGCCGCTCCAACAGGCTCTACAGCAATGTGGCCGACGTGCCCGCCGGACAGTTGGTGAGCGGCGGCTTCTCCGTGGACGGGCCGGGCCAGCACTACCAGGACCTGCGTGACGGGAGCCCCTATGGCGTCCCCCAGTCGCCCTCCTCCATCTCGTCCCTGCCGTCCCATGCGCCGCTGCTCAACGGGCTGGATTACGCCGTGGACAGTAACTTGGCTATTGTGGCCCACGGCGGCCCGGGCGTCGGCCAGACGCTGCGAGCACTGACGGGTGGTCCCACCTCCGACATCTCCACGGGGAGCAGCGTGGGCTACCCCGACTTCCCTACCAGCCCTGCCTCCTGGCTCGACGACATGGAGCACCCACCCTTTTAGACTTGCTCACCCTGGCCCCCCCCCCCAGCTGCCCGAGCCTCAGAGACACATGAGGGAGGAACAGCCAAGGCATGCCGTGGGCCACGTCCGCAATTTTCAGCGGCCACCATTTGCAGTGGCCACCATTTGCGGTGTGTACCATTTGCAATGCCCATGAGTTGCAGTGATTATGATTTGCGATGCCCACGAGTTGCAGTGACACGATTTGCGATGCCCACGAGTTGCAGTGATCACGATTTGTGATGCCCATGAGTTGCAGTGATCACGATTTGTTATGTCCACGATTTGCAGTGATCACAATTTGCGACACCCACAAGTTGCAGTGATCACGATTTGCGATGCCCACAAGTTGCAGTGATCACGATTTGTGATGACCACAGTTTGCAGTGTCCCCAGTTTGCGGGTCATGGGAGCACAGAGTTGGGCCAGCTGCTCTTCCCCGGTGCCGAGAGGGGGTCACAATCTCCTGCTCCCTGGACAGACATGGCACCAGGGTGCAGCCCCCCCGATGCCAGGCTCTGCCCATCGCCTCCCCCCTGTCCCCAGCTTCCCAGCTTTGTCTGCTCAGCGCCCGTCACTCTGTGTGCCCCCCACGGCCTTTTGCCTTGTGCACCGCGAATCGCCCCTGAATCCCGGTTCCTGAGGGAGGATGATGCCACCAGTTGCCCCCCCCCCAGACTCCCTATCACTGATGAACTGAATTTAAAAAAAAAGTCCCTTAGCCAAGGTCAGTGACAGGGACAGTCACAGCCTGACGTGGAGCCCACCCCCGCCTCCCCATTTATTCTGCCCGTGACATCTCACCGCTGACCCCCGGAAGCACATGCCCGAGTATCAGTTTGGGCTCTTAGGGACCTTTCTGGGGGGTCCCCACTCCCCAAGACAAGCAGCGACTTCCCTGCCCCGCCCCGAGACTCCCATGTGCATCTTTCCCATTGGCTGGTGGCGGGGATGCTGTGAGGTGGCCAGCCCCAGGGAGAGGACCATCAGTGCCCACAGCGTAGACTGCTTGGGTCCCCTTATGGGTGCTGGTGGCCAGGAGCACCCAAGACCCCTGTTCTGGGAGGTGCAGGCCTGGGGGTCGGAGTGGACTTGAAGGTCACCCCCACGGCATCCTCGAAGGTGGCTTTCCGCCCAGTCCCCATCACGTTAGGGGCCAGCCCTAACACTGGCCACAGGCTGCTGGCTCACGTCTACACTGGCAGCAGCTGAGGTTGGCACCCTGGGTGCTGTCCATGGCCTCCCAGCCCCTCTGTGGGTCATCCTAAGGCCCAGGGGCCACCCCCATGGCACTGCACATCTGGGCCCGATGCAGTGGGGTCCGGTCACGTGCAAATGACGCCAGCTGAAGTGGGGGGCAGAGCTCATGTGCCCCAGGACCCACCTTTCTCCTTCAGTTTTCTTGGGTGTTTGGGGTGCCCAGGGGAGGGGCAGTGGCAGGGGTCAGGCTTGATCGTGCCTTCCCAGCTCTGGTTCTTCCGTCCTTCATGCAGAGTCCTGCAAACAGGCTCTTGTTGCAGGTCCAGGGTTGGGTCGGAGGGGGTGGCCAGCCCCATGCGTTCCATGGGGAGTCTTTGGGGATAGGACTCAGTAGCCAGCCAACAGGCCATGTGAGGACAAAGGACATGTTCTCTTAGCGGGTGGGCAGATTCTTGACTGTCTTCCCCACCCTGGCGAGACCCCCCCTAACTCAGCTAGGCTAGTAAGTGCTCCAGGGAGTCCAGAGGGGCGCCCAGACTTGGGGGACCATGGAAGCTCATCAGGGAATCCACTTTGCCTTTGCGTTTGCCTTGCCCGCGGCCAACCCGGGTTCAATTCCCAGCATCCCATAGGGTCCCCCGAGCACTGCCAGGAGTCATTCCTGAGCGCAGAGCCAGAAGGAACCCCTGAGCATCGCCGGGTATGACCCAAAACCAAACAAACAAAAAAGAAAGAATCTTAGCGACAATTAGTAGTGGGAAAAAAAAAAAACCAAACCCAAACCAGTTCTGGACATCATGGGGATGAGTGGAAAATAGAGAAAAAAAATCTGGATTTTGCCGCAAAGCAAAACCCCGGAGGAGATGGTGGGAAACGGCAGAGAACCCCCAGCCCTTGTGCCAGTCTGAAAGCGCGCCGCCTAGTGGGGAGGCTGTGGGTGGCAGCTTAGCCTGGGGGAGCATAATGAATTTTGGGGTGGGGAGAGCGCCCTCTGGTGGAGAGGCTGCAGGTAGCAGCTGAGCCTGGTGGTGGTGTGGAACTCGGGGGAAAGAGCGCCCTCTGGTGGGGAGGCTGCAGGTTGGCAGCATAGCCTAATGGTGTATAATAGAGTTGGAGAAGGAGAAGAGCACCCTCTGGTGGAGAGACTGTAGGTGGCAGCTGAGCCTAGTGGTGTATTACGGAGCTGGGTGGGGGAGAGCGCCCTCTGGTGGAGAGGCAGCTGAGCTTGGAAGTGTGTCACGGAATTGAGAGAAAAAGAGGGTCCTTGGGTGGAGGAGTGGAGTTGGTACCTTAGCCTGGTGGTGGTGGTGATGGGGGGGAAGAGCGCCCTCTGGTGGACAGGCTGCAGGTGGCAGCAAAGCCTAATGGTGTACTATGGGATTGGGGGAAGAGCGCCCTCTGGCGGACAGGCATCAGATAGCAGCATAGCCTAATGGTGTAGTGTGCTACGAGATGGGGGGGAAGAGCGCCCTCTGGTGGAGAGACTAGGTGGCAGCTGAGCCTGGAGGCGCATCACAGAGTTGGGAGAAAAGAGCTTCCTTTGGTGGCGGGGCTGCCCTGGGCACCTTGGCTTGGGGGTGTTGTGGAGGTTGAGGGGGAAAGAGCGCCCTCTGGTGGAGAGTCTGCAGTCAGCAGCTTAGCCTTGGCGCTATGTCGTGGGGCCGAGGCAAGAGCGTCCTCTGGTCGAGAGTCTGCGGGTGCAGTTATGGGGCAGTGGAAAGAGCTCCCCCTGGTGGAGAGTTTGCTGTAGTTGCGGGGCAGTGGAAAGAGCGCCCCCTGGTGGAGTCTGTGGGTGCAGTTAAGGGGCAATGGGAAGCGCGCCCCCTGGTGGAGAGTCTGCTGTAGTTGCGGGGCAGCGGAAAGAGCGCCCTCTGGTGGAGTCTGTGGGTGTAGTTAAGGGGCAATGGGAAGCGCGCCCCCTGGTGGAGAGTCTGCTGTAGTTGCGGGGCAGTGGAAAGAGCGCCCCCTGGTGGAGTCTGTGGGTGCAGTTAAGGGGCAATGGGAAGCGCGCCCCCTGGTGGAGAGTCTGCTGTAGTTGCGGGGCAGCGGAAAGAGCGCCCTCTGGTGGAGTCTGTGGGTGCAGTTAAGGGGCAATGGGAAGCGCGCCCCCTGGTGGAGAGTCTGCTGTAGTTGCGGGGCAGCGGAAAGAGCGCCCTCTGGTGGAGTCTGTGGGTGTAGTTAAGGGGCAATGGGAAGCGCGCCCCCTGGTGGAGAGTCTGCTGTAGTTGCGGGGCAGTGGAAGGAGCGCCCCCTGGTGGAGTCTGTGGGTGCAGTTATGGGGCAGTGGAAAGAGCGCCCCCTGGTGGAGAGTCTGTAGTTGCGGGGCAGCGGAAAGAGCGCCCCCTGGTGGAGAGTCTGCGGGCGCAGTTGTGGGGCAGTGCAAGGAGCGCCCCCCGGTGGAGTCTGTGGGTGCAGTTAAGGGGCAATGGGAAGAGCGCCCCCTGGTGGAGAGTCTGCGGGCGCAGTTGCGGGGCAGTGGAAGGAGCGCCCCCCGGTGGAGTCTGTGGGTGCAGTTATGGGTAGAGGAAAGAGCGCCCCCCGGTGGAGAGGCCGCCAGGGGCCGCCGATCTGGGCGCTGCAGGGCCCCGGGCTCGCTGGCATCTCCTCGGGCTCGCGCTCCAGACACCCCGAGTTGCAGCCGCGGCCGCGTCCGGGCCAGCTCTGGGCCCGGCGGGCGGAGGCGGCGGCGACTCGGCAACGTTGCACTTTAACACTTGGCGAAACACGGTGGGCTGCAGGACGGGGCGATGCAGCGGGCACGGGCTCTGCCGGCCGCTTGCCGACGGCGGCGCTGGGCATGCGGAATCCAAAGCACATCAACTGCCTCCCTCTGCCGCGGGGTCCCGGGCCAGGAAAGGGGCGCCGGCACCCCACGCACCCGGGCCGGGGGTGGGGGTGGGGGTCCGGGGACCGGGGCAGAAGCACAGAATCGGGGCACGGCTGCGGGCGGGGGCAGCGCAGCTCTGGGCCAAGGGAGCAGAGCACAGCAGGGACGGACCCCCTCATCGCATCTGCATCCCCCGTTTCCCCGACCCAGGCCGGCGGGGGGTCGCGGGGGCCCGGCTGGGGGGGCCTGAGCCTGCACGCAGCCCCCCAGCCCCGGCCCCTGGACTGGCTCCCTACGCAGTGTAAATTTTGTACAGTTAAGAGGGAACGGAGTCTCATTTCCTGGGAGGGGAGGAAAGAAAATGGTTAAAACAAAAAAAAAAGAAAAACAAAGCCCCTCCCCCTCCTTATTTATAGCCACGTGCCCGCGGGCGCTGCACCTGCTCCTCACTGCGCATGCGCGGGGGCGGGCCCGCCCCGTCCAATAAACTCAACTTCTCTAGAGGCCGCGTGTCCACTCGTCCTTGGGGCCCCGGGGGACCAGGTGGGCGGCGGGTGGGGGGCCAAGCTGGGCCCGGTGGGTCCTTCCTCCGCCCCAGGAGGGAGTCCGGGCAGGCAACTGTGGGGGCCAGGACGTGGGACCCCGAAAACGAGACCTAACTCCAGGGTGGTTAGAGGGATGACCCCGTGTGTGTGTGTGTGTGTGTGTGTGTGTGTGTGTGTGTGGCCTTTTGAGTCCCACCCGGCGATGCTCAGGGCCGACTCCTGGCTCATGCACTCAGGAATCACTCCTGGCGGTGCTCCGGGGACCCTATGGGATGCTGGGGATCGAACCCGGGTCAGCCGCGTGCAGGGCCAATACCCTCCCTGCTGTGCTATCGCTCCCTCCATTTCATTTCTTTCTTGGTTTTGGCTTCTGGGGCCACACCTGGGAGTGCTTGGGGTTGACTCCTGGCTCTGTGCTCAGGGCTGACTCCCGGATCTGTGCTCAGGGCTGACTCCTGGCCCTGTGCTCAGTGCTGACTCCTGACTGTGCTCAGGGCTCACTCCCGGCTTTGTGCTCAGGGCTCACTCCTGGAGGGGCTCACATAGAGGGTGTTGGGGACCCCACCCAGGTCAGCTGTGTGCGAGGCAAGCTGGACTATCACGCCAGCGTTTTCTATTTAAAAACAAGCTTGTGGGGCTGGAGCAATAGCACAGCGGGGAGGGCGTTTGCCTTGCACGCAGCAGACCCAGGTTCAATTCCCAGCATCCCATCTGGTCCCCCGAGCACTGCCAGGGGTAATTCCTGAGTGCAGAACCAGGAGAAACCCCTGTGTATTGCCTGGTGTGACCCAAAAAGCAAAAAATAAATAAAAAATAAATAAAAAACAAGCTTGCGCTGGGGGTTCCCCCCTGGTAGTACCTCCCAGTTCTGCCTGGTGCTACTCTGGGGTCACTCCTGGTGGAGCTCAGGACCCGGCTCGTCCCTTTATAACAGAAGACAGTGGAGTGGGGCGGGGGGCGTGAGGTCCTGGACTTAGGGGCCCGGGGAGGGGGTCGCTGAGTGACCTGCGTCTCCCTCAAGCCAAGCCTGAGCCCCAACCCAGCCAGTCACCTTGGCCTCTTGCTTTTTCTCTGGTCTTTGTTTCATACCTGGCCTGAGCACTGAGCTGTGAGTAACCCCCGAGCACTGCTGGGTGTGGCCCCAACCACCTCGCCCCATGCCTGTCACTCACGGGCACAGCTCTGGGGAGTAACGGCCACGGCTGTCACGTGTCCTGAGCATTTTTTTCCTCCTGTGGACAGAGGGGGCCCTGGGAAAAAGGGGTTTCCTTCCTGAGTGAGCTCCATGGGCCGGCCAGAACTTCCGGGCTGACCTGCACCCCAACTCCCTCTCCTGCAATCTCCCCTGCTCCCACTCCTCTGGGCTGAGGGTCTCCTGCGTGGGAAGAGGGACTTAGGGGGTTCGTGCCAGGCTGGGATTTCCCAAAAACGCTCAGGGAGGGCTGGAGCGATAGCCCAGTGGGGAGGGCGTTTGCCTTGCATGCGGCTGACCCGGGTTCGATCCCCGGCATCCCATAGGGTCCCCAGGAGTAATTCCTGAGTGCAGAGCCAGGAGGAATCCCTGAGTATCGCCGGGTGTGACCCAAAAAGCAAACAAACAAGCTCAAGGAGCCCTCAGTCCCCAAATTGGTCTTGGCAACGAGCAGTTTTTGTGGAAGGCCATTAGCGCGGTAAACAGCTTCCGGCAGATGGCTACAGCCGGGACAAACTCCAGGTAGGGATTTTGGGGCTAAATCTCCTATTTCGGCCACGAGTGTGTTATTCCAGGAACACAAACACGGGGGGTCTGACCCGCGGCTCTTTCCCCTGCTCAACGTGGGGACCAACCCCCATCACTGTATTTTGGGGGGCACAGACCCCCCTCAACCCCAGGGGGTCCTTAAGCTGCAGCCTGTCTCCCGGAGGGGCCCCGGGACTCAGTGGCTCTGCGTGTGCAGGGCCTTGGCGATGATTATTTTTAGAATCATTTTACCATTTAATGCTTTTCAATTAAAGCGATTTCCCGGAGTGCAGCCAAGTCGCGCGGGCAAAAGCGTATTAACCACTTTCTGCATCGGTAGTTAAAGGTACCGGGTTGCGGGGTGGGGGGTGGGGGGGATGGAGGATTTATCCGGCGGCCCCCGCGAGCCGCGCCGTCAAGGGTGGGTGGAATAAAGCAGATTATAAACAATAATATATGTCTTGCTTTTCTTTCGCGTCTGGACGCGGGCCAGCCTCGCAAACTGAGCTGGAGTGCTGTCAACAGACCGGGATGGAGCTTGGCTGGCGGTGCCCCCTCCCCTCCACGCAGGGGGCTTTGCATGTGTCTGCAACCCGGCCACCTTCGGGATGGGCAGCTGGGGGGCTGGGGACAGGCGGTGGCCACCTCCCCATGGAAGGAGGCACTGGAGATGCACCATTCGCATCCTGGCCACTGGCCCCGACGTCCAGCCCGGGGACACGGCTCTGTGGTCACCAGGTCACATCCCAGATGCCACAGTACCCCCATGGTACTGGGTGGTGCTTTTCCGCCCCCCGCCCCCGCCCCGAGCAAGGCAGGCAACCGCTTCCCATTTCTAATCCCGTTTTGGGGTTTGGGCCACACGTGGTGATGCTCAGAGTTTTGGCCTTGCACGTGGCTGACCCGGGTTCGACATCCCCCCCCTCCGCTCCCCGGCATCTCATATGGCACTGTGAGCACCGCCAGGAGTGATCCCTGAGCACAGAGCCAGGAGTAACCCCTGAGCATCGCTGGGTCTGGCCCCCAAACAAAAATAAATAAAAATTAAAATGCCAGGGGCTGGAGCAATAGCACAGCGGGTAGGGCGTTTGCCTTGCACGCGGCCAACCCGGGTTCGATTCCCAGCATCCCATAGGGTCCCCCTGAGCACTGCCGGGAGTAATTCCTGAGTGCAGAGTCAGGAGTAACCCCTGTGCATCGCCAGGTGTGACCCAAAAAGAAAAAAAAAAAGCAAAACCAAACAGAACAAAGAATAAAATCAAAACATCAACAAGTGACGCCTTATAACCAGGGCCACACGCAGAACGCTCTCAGAAAACACGGGAACTAAAAACCAGAGGGATTCCTATAGAAGAAACAAAAATAAAAGCGCCAGGCGGCCTCCCTCCCCCGCCCCACCTCCCCGGCATGTGATGTCTACAAGGGCCGTGCTTTAATAACGCTGCTTTTCAGGGGAGAGCGTGACGAGAATATTTCAAGGGGGAGCGAAGAACGATGAGGTTAGAGGACCGGCCCCGCTCAATCTATTCAGAGACTTGTCAATTAGTGCTCGCCTGCAAACCTGCCCTCCTGAGCTAAGAGCGAGCCCGTGAGAAGCATGTCACTGCACCTAACAGGGATGGGAGTGGGACGAGGCTGAGTCTGTCCTTTCCTGGGCAGAACGGTCACACCTGGCCCCCGGCCCTGATGGATGGGCCGCCGTCTGCAGGTAATTGCCATCGGTGTTTAAGGTAAAGTGCCGTAATGGGCGATTTTTCAAATCTCAGGGTCACAAAAGAACTATTACTGCCTTTCCTGCGTGATGGTACCTGGAGAAAAACCCGATTGATTCGCCTGGGAAGTCCTTGGGGCACGGTCCGGCACCCAGACCTGACAGGATGGGGGTATGGAAGCTTCTGGAATGGCATGCCTGACTGGGCAGCATCTCAGGGCTCTGCGCCGTGTGCGTTTCCATCGGATGGGGCCTATGCGCCCGTGAGAACTTCGCACTAAGACAGCCAACGTCCCGTTTTGCACAGAGTAGCACCCGTCTGTTACGGGAGGACTTCTGGCTCTGTGCTCTGGGCTGACTCCCGGTTCTGAGCTCTGGGCTGAATCCTAGTTCTGTGCTCAGGGCCCACACCAGGCTCTGTGCTCGGAGCTCACTCCCGGCTCTGTGTTCGGGGCTGACTCCTGGCTCTGTGCTCAGGGATGACTCCTGGTTCTGTGCTCAGGGTTCACTCTTGGCTCTGAGCTGGGCCGACTCCTGGCTCTGAGCTCGGGGCTGACTCCTGGCTCTGTGCTCTGTCCCGCATGTGGCTGACTGGTGCACAGCTGGGCGTGGGCTAAGTGGGCTCCAAGCCCTACGTGCCTCCAGCTGGGTCCGGAGGAGAACGCCGGGGCAGGCACTCACCTGTGGCCGACCCTGCTCTGCTCCGGGAGCACTAGCCGGCCTGCGCCCCGAGCACCCCTGGGCGCAGCCCCAGACTCCCCAAAGACAGAAGCTCCCCCTGATTCTCGGGGAGGTGGGGGCGGCCGCGGGCGCCCTGTCCACGCGTCCAGGGGAGCGTCTGGGGGAAACGAGGGTCCCCGGCCACTGGGCATCCCACCTCCTACAACACCAGTGGCCGTGGCCAGCAGGGGGTGGCCGCTGCAGGCCGGGGGTGTCCCCAGACCCCCAAAGCGCGGGGTTCCCGCCTCCTGGGGCCCTTGGGTCGCTCAGGACTCACCTTCCAGAGGACTCCGGGCTGCTGCTGCCCGCCGCTGGCCGCATCTCTCCCGGGATGCAGTTCTTGCACGCCAAGCCCTCCCCCCCTCCCCACCCCCGGGGCTGCCCCGCAGGCTGCTGGCCCGGGTTCGAGCCCGGTCAGTGCCCCCTCCCGTCCCATCCCGGCCCGGTCCGGCAGACAAGGAACCACAGAGCCCGCGCAATCCCAGCACTTTATTAGTCCGCGCGGGGTGGAGTGCGACGTCACTGGGGCGCGTGACGTCACGCCGTGTCCCGTGACGTCACGCCGAGCTGGGCGCCGCGTGCGTCTGCAGCAGCGCGCGCAGGGCGTGGCAGCCCGTGACGTCGGCCGGGAGGCAGCCGTCCTGGTCCCGCCGCGCCGGGTCCGCGCCCGCGCGCAGCAACAGCTCCACGATGTCCTGGAACTCGCAGGCCGCAGCTGTGGGGGCAAGGGGCAGAGGTCAGCGGGGCCATGCAGGGGCAGTGCCCCCTGGACGCCCCCCCACCCCCGAGCCCTGCCAGGAGTGAGCCCCGAGCACTGAGCCGGGAGTGAGCCCTGAGCACTGAGCTGGGAGTGAGCCCCGAGCACAGAGCCGGGAGTGAGCCCCGAGCACAGAGCCGGGAGTGAGCCCCGAGCACAGAACCGGGAGTGAGCCCCGAGCACTGAGCCGGGAGTCAGCTCTGAGCACAGAGCTGGGAGTGAGCCCCAAGCACTGAGCTGGGAGTCAGCCCTGAGCACAGCTGATCATGGTCAAAACTAAATCAAACCAAGGAGAGGTAAGTAACAGAGCTAACGGTAACATCTGGGTTGGGACCACGCCCGGCGATGCTCAGGGCTGACTCCCGGCTCTGTGCTCAGGTGCTCAGAAATCACTTCTGGCGATGCTCAAGGCTGACTCCTGGCTCTGTGCTCGGATGCTCAGGAATCACTCCTGGTGATGTTCAGGGCTGACTCCCGGCTCCGTGCTCAGTGCTCAGGAATCACTCCTGGTGATGCTCAGGGTTGATTCCCGGTTCTGTGGTCAGTGCTCAAGAATCACTCCTGGGGATGCTCAGGGCTGACTCCCGGCTCTGTGCTCTGGAATCACTCCTGGCGGTGCTCACGGGGGGACCCTCGGGGAAGCCAGGCGCCGGCTGCACCCTGGCTGGCCGCGTCCAAAGCAAACGCCCTCCCCGCGGTGCTCTCGCTCTGAAGTTTTCTGAGCTCCAAGATCCCACGCGTGGGAGGGTGTTTCCCTCCCCACGGACCCGGAAGGGGCGTCAGAGCAGCGGCTCTGCAGAGGAAGGGCCTGGAGGGTCGTCACCAGCCAACCCACCCACCGACCCACCAAACGCTCTGAGCCCTCAGCCGCAGGCGGGGACCGTCAACGCTGCATGCAGTTCCCCACCGGGCCAGGCCAGCTAGGGCTGGCGCAAAAATTCATTAGTTAATTGTTCTCCGCGCCGCGAGCATCTGCTCGAAGATTCCCAAGACGGAGCCGCCTTCCAGAATGGGGGGACCGTCCCCCTCCCCGCCGCCTCTCGGGGTGGACAAAGGCGGGAGGCTTGAGGGGATGGTGAGGGGCCCCCCCATGAGAGGCCGACTCTGGGGGAGGGTCTCCCTAGTACTGGAAAACTGAGAAACGCCCCCAGGCAGGGCCCAGCCCGGGGCCAGCCGGGAGTATGAGGGGGGGGCGGAATTTATGGGACCCCCCCAGAGCCCCTATTCATCAAGTGCCTTGGGGGGCGGCCACAGCCCTGGCCCCGGTGGGGCGGGGGGGGGGGGGGAGATGGATTTTCAGGATTTTCATTCCCTTCTGGGTTCTATTGAATCCTCGGGGTCCGGGTGACGGATTTCTCTTTTTCGAAAAAAAAAAAAAAAAAAGAAAAAATTTATTTATTTTCCCTCCCACCACTGTGCAAGCGGGCAGGTTTGAGAACAGATGGCGTTTCACGGTGGGCTCGGGGGGCGACCGGGCCAGCCCACTTGGGGGGACACGTGACAGCACGAGCCAGGAGCAGCCTTGATTTCCCCGGGGAGCCACTGTGGCAGGGCTGTCACCTGGGGGGGGTGGGAGGAAGAGGCGGGGAAGGACGCCCCCCCCCCCCCCCAACGCTCCCAGCTCTTGGCAGCAAGGAAAACGGGCAGAGGCCAGGGCACCAGTGGGCGTCCCGTCGAGGGGGGGGGACACAGGGACCCTCTCAAGGGCGGCCGGAGCAGAGTGGCCTCTGGGGCCCCAGACTGGCCGCCACCCAGTTTTAATCGGAAGCGGCCAAGATTTACGGCCCGTTTCAGGGGGAGTTTGACGAGTGATATAATCAGAGACACAAGGACAGGCGCGGGGCGTTCAGTGATTCCTGAGGAGCAAGAGACGAGCCCCGGCCCCACCCCCCCTCCGCCCGTCTGAGGAGTTCGATGGAAGTTCCCAGAACGGGGTTCGGCCCGGAGTCCACCAATGCCCACGAGAGATGGGGGATTGGATGGAGGATAGAGAGTGAAAGGATAAAAAAATCTGTCCCGGGCTGGAGCGATAGCACAGTGGGTAGGGTGTTTGCCTTGCACGCAGCCGACCCGGGTTCGATTCCCAGCATCCCATATGGTCCCCCGAGCACAGCCAGGAGTAACTCCTGAGTGCATGAGCCAGGAATAACCCCTGTGCGTCGCTGGGTGTGACCCAAAAAGCAAAAAAAAAAAAAAAAAAAAAAAAAATCTGTCCCATGGATGCTAAGGACAGTTGCTGTTCGGATAGCACTGCAGCACTGTCCTCTCGTTGTTCGAGTCGCTCAAGCGGGCACCAGTAATGTCTCTGCAGTGAGACTGGTTGGGACTGTTTTTGGCATCTCAACGACGCCACGGGGAGCTTGCCAGGCTCTGCTGTTTGGATACACACGATATTCCTGTCTGGACAATCCTGAAAATTTCCTTCCAGTCTAGAGACCGCTTTAAAAAGATGAAACAGGGGGCCAGAGCGATAGCACAGCGGGTAGGGCGTTTGCTTTGCACGCAGCCGACCTGGGTTCAATCCCCGGCATCCCATAGGGTCCCCCAAGCACCGCCAGGAGTCATTCCTGAGTGCAGAGCCAGGAATGAGCCCTGAGCATCGCTGGGTGTGAACCAAAAAGCAAAAAAAAAAAAAGATGAAACAATAACAACAACACCACCAAGAAAAAAAAAAGAAGTGGAGCCATAGCACAGCGGGGAGGGTGTTGGCCTGGCACATGGCTGACCTGGGTTCCATCCCCGGCATCCCATAGGGACCCCCGAGCACCGCCAGGAGTGATTCCTGAGTGCAGAGCCGGGAGTCAGCCCCGAGCAGAGCTAAGCTCCCAACACTCATTCATCGTTCAGGAAAAGGACTTACCGTAGTGTAGTACCGTCTGGCCTTCGTTATCCTGGAAAAGAAGCAAAGAGAATCTGTGAAAAGGCAGGTTGGGCCATTGCGGGGGTGATGGCCCCACACCCTGGGTGGCACAGGGCGCCCCACGGCGGAGTTACTGCTGGGAAGATCCAAAGGGAACCCCTCAAACAGCAGCCTGGCCCCCAAAAACGTTGGAGGTACTTAACTTGGCTCACATTATAATATGTTTCCTAAATTCAGTTTCTTATTGATTTGAAAACCCATGGACTTACAGAGGAAGTAGCTTTTGCTTATTTTTTGGGGGGGGGGGGGTGATGACGGATGGGGGTGGGGAAGTTTTCAGAAATTTTCAGGGGACCACAAGCAGCGCTGAGGGTTAAACCAGGACTGGCCACATACAAAGTAAACTTCGGGTTTTTATTTATTTTGGGGTCACACCCGGCCTATGGGGACCCTATGGGGTGCTGGGGGACCCAATCCTGGTCCAATCCTGGGGACCAACCCGCTCCAGTCCCTAAGTAAGCAGTCTTTATTCTTTTTTTTTTTCCCGCTTTTTGGGTCACACCCGGTGATGCACAGGGGTTACTCCTGGCTCTGACTCAGGAATCACTCCTGGCAGTGCTCGGGGGACCCTATGGGATGCTGGGAATCGAACCCAGGTTGGCTGCATGCAAGGCAAATGCCCTCCCCACTGTACTATCACTCCAGGCCCCCAAGTTAGCAGTCTCTAATCCCTTTTCTCCGAATTCTAAATTAGACTCAGACTCTTCCATTTCACACTGAATGCTGGAGCGATAGCACAGTGGGTAGGGCATCTATGTGGCCGGCATGCCGGTTCGATCCCCGGCATCTCCTAGGGTCCCCTGAACCCCACCAGGAGTGACCTCTGAGTGTAGAGCCAGGAGTCAGCCCTGAGCATTGCTGGGTGTGCCCCCCAAAAAAAGCCAAATAAATAAAAATAAAACAAAAACACTCCACTTTGGAAAATGTGATTTTTTGAAAGCACAGCGTCCTAGAAACGGTTAGGAAGAGCCCAGTTCCTATAGGTCACTCAAAACTGGACAGCGGGAGTCCAGCCCAGTCCGGCCCACGTGGACGCTGCCCGTCTGGCCCAGGAGCTGCCGGGGCCGGTGTGTGGTGTCGCCTTTAATCACAGCATTCCCGGGACCCCGCGTTTCCCGGCGGTTGCCTCTCTCTTCCAGCTCTAATTGCTTATTTCCACTAGGGAGGCGGCGGCGTAATTAATTTCTGTTAATCACGTTTCCTGAGAAATACTAAATCTTCATCTCCCGCCCAATTTCCAATTAATTAAAAATGTTTCTCTAGCCCCCACCAGCGTCCCGGGCACCCTGCTAGGTACCGGGGGACATGGGAGGCGAGAGCAGAGATGGTCCCCGAGGTGATAAATCTTCCTCCTCTGGGAGGGAGGCACAGAGAGCGAATAAACAGACAAGAGCATCACACTGGGATGCTGTGTTCTGGGAACCACCAAGGCGCGTGGGGGAGTCTAGAGGGTCCCTCCCCACGGGGCTCTGCGGCGCCCCCTGCCTTCGGGAGGCTGCAAGAGCCAGGGGCAGAGGGATGCTTGGGTACCAAAGATGGGGAAAACACTGCTTCAAGCAGGTAGATTTCAGGTCTGGAGAGATGGCACGGCGGGGAGGGCGTTGGCCTGGCACGCGGACCGACCCGGGTTCGATCCCCGGCATCCCATGGGGTCCCCCGAGCACCGCCAGGAGTGATTCCTGAGTGCAGAGTCGGGAGTCAGCCCTGAGCATCGCCGGATGGAACCCAAAAAGCAATCAATCAATCAATCAATCAATAATCAAGAGTGATGAACCAGGGACCTGGGCATCGCCGGGTGGGATCCCAGAATAAAATAAAATCACAAGTTCTGAGCTGAAGCGATAGCACAGTGGGGAGGGCGTTTGCCCGGCACGTGGCCGACCCGGGTTCGATACCCAGCATCCCATAGGGTCCCCCGAGCACCGCCAGAGGAGTAATTCCTGAGCACAGAGCCAGGAGTCAGCCCTGCCCCACGAAAGAAGGCTGATTTCCAGGGGGTGTTTCTGGAAAGGGGGATTTCATCGCCAAGCCTGTGCCCTCCAATGTCACTGGTTGTGGAAGGGTTCAGGGATAGCGCATGAGGGGGACTTGGTGGGGGGGCGGGTGCCTCCCCCACATCCTGGTCACTCACAGCTAACCAGGGGGCATTAGCACTGCCCTTTGCAGCCTGGCGGGGTGGGAGGACAAAATGGGTGTGGGTGCTCTCCTCAGGGTGAAAGGGAACGGTCCTGTGTCTGTGGAGGCCCAGGAAAGCTTGGGTCACAGGCAGAGACAGAACCACAGGGGGAAGAAGTGTCTCCGGGAAGTCAACCCCCCCCCCCAGAAAAAAAAGTTCAGGGAAGCATTATTTGTGAAAAAGATAAAAAGAGGGACATCTTAAGTGATTGTAATAGACCCCAAGACCAAAATGAGCATGAATGTCAAAAAGGATTTCCTTTTTTTAAGTTTTTGCCATACCCAGCGATGCTCAGGGCTGACTCCTGGCTCTGTGCTCAGGGCTGACTCCTGGTGGTGCTCAGGGGACCCTATGGGATGTTGGGGATCGAACCCGGGTCTGCGGCGTACAAGGCAAACGCCCTACCTGCTGTACTATTGCTCTGGCCCCCAGGGTCCAAATCTAATTATTACTTTTTGGATCATGACAGCGTTAGTGCTTGACCAAGCTCTTAACTTTTAGTTAAGCATCATGGCGCTTCGGCCAGGCCCATTTCGATGCCAGGGTAGCACATAGCTCACCGCTTGCCCTGGGTCCATCCAGTCCCTCGTCGGGACCCTGCTTTTGGGGTGCTAGGAAGTAAGGGCAGCTGAGGCTTAGGTCGAGAGAACAGATACCCCAAGAGGTAATATTATCTGGAGTCAATCAACTCCCAAGTTACAAAAGCATAGCATTAACTCTCTTCCTGTGCCCAAACACAATTCTGCTGTGAATTAACTATTCAAAGGACTTAAGGACAAGTGAAAAACAATATTTGCAAGCCAACAGAGTCTGATTAGGAGATAAAGGTGATTGACCGGTAAACACCGAGGAATGGGAGCACTGTGATGGGAGTAACCCAACGAACCTAAACTCCCTGTGGCAAGGCAAGCGTTGGTTTGCTGATAAGGCAAACTAATGTTATCTTACAATGGACTATTTATATTTTTGCCAAACTTTCCAGAATAAAGCGCCCTTCACCTCGGTCCGAAGGCTTCCAGTCACTGCCTCTAAAACGCTGCATCTGGGGCAATAGCACGGTGGGGAGGGCGTTTGCCTTGCACGCGGCCGACCTGGGTTCGATTTCCAGCATCCCATAGGGTCCCCTGAGCACCGCCAGGAGTGACCCCTGAGCATCGGCTGGGTGTGACCCAAAAAGCAAAACAAAACAAAACAAAAAACCCCTGCTACATCTGTCCTTCGAAACTCAGCGACGCCCCCCAAAGATCTTGCTGTGTTACCAGCAGGGTCCCTCACCCGTCGCTGCTGGGATAAGCGTGACGGGACCCTTCCCTCCACTCCCCTCCCACCAGCTCGTACCTTGACGCCCACCAGCTCTAATTGGGGGCTTCTTCTGCATTGCGGTGCTGTGGGCTGAAGTGGTCTTGTGTTTAATGGGAAAGGAAATTCCTGATCCCTTGACTAATCGATCTGGTGAGTGGTCACGGGAAGCTAAGGAGCGTGACTTGCTGTCTGGGGTGACTAGAAAGCGGGCAGGGAGAGGGGGATAGCTAGACAGGAACACTGGGGTTCTCTCTGCTGTCCCCCACCAAGCCCGGTATTTTGGGGGAGACGCAGAGAAACAGCCAATGATTCCCACAATTTCCTAGTCAAATCTTCTTCGTCAATTCTTCGTTGGTGCATCTCTCGTATGCTAGTACGTAGGAATCAGGCACCCTGAAAAATCCGTTTTGATATTTTTCGGGGGTCGGGGGGGTTGTCACACTTGTCTGTGCTCAGGGCTTGGGGAGCACATGGGGGTCGAACCCAGGTCAGGTGCATGAAAGGCAAGCGCCCTCCCCGTGGGACTAGGACTCTGGATCCCCAAATCTTTTTTTTTTTTTTTGCTTTTTGGGTCACACCCAGCGATGCTCAGGGGTCCCTCCTGGCTCTGCACTCAGGAATCACTCCTGGCAGTGCTCGGGGGACCCTATGGGATGCTGGGACTCGAACCCAGGTGGGCCGCGTGCAAGGCAAACGCCCTACTCACTGTGCTATTGCTCCAGCCCCCCCAAATCTTTTTAATCATCATTAATAATTATAACCAACCGCTCCATTACAGTCCTGTTATGATTAAGGTAACTCATAAAACAACCTTCACGTATCCACACAATCTTGACCTCTGTTCCTTCTCTTCTGGAAAAAAAAATTTGTATTCAAGCATAAATATGACTCCAAACATTATTATTTTTTCTCTCTCGGTAACCTCAAAACAGAAGATAGAAACCCAAACCTTTAGGATTTTTTTTTTCTTATTTTACAAACATTCTGTTTTTCAATATATTACGGAAGAATAAATGGAATTGAACGTCAAGCATGAGTAAGTGAAAGCTTTTACTTATCCGGTTTACAACTTATATCAGCTAATTTTTCTAAATTTAAGTTGATTAAATTTTTGGGGTTGTTTTCTTTTGAATGGCCGCCCCAGCACAGCGCTGTTTGTCATCGTTATTTATGTGTTTCCACTCTGTTTCAGCTGAAAGAAGTGCTCCAATTTAATAAATATAGAGTTGTTATAAACTGCAGCAAAAAACAATCCCAATAAATTAAAATTGGCCGTACATCTGCGGTTCTTGCAAAAGGAACGCATGGGGAGGCGAAATCGGAAAGAAAAAAAAAAATAATACTTCGGCTGAATTAAAACAAACACAAAGTAACCTACCCAAGTTAAGAAATATTGGAACACTGCTGGGCTTTCAGGTTACAAAAGCTACACAATGACAATGGAAGAAAAGGGACTTAATTTTGGGGTGGGAAGATGGTTCTAGAAACAATCA